CTAAAAATAATTGCAAAAGGATGCATAAAAGTTAGATACCTTAGAGGAGGTTTTTGCAGTCAGGGTGTTTACATCGAGCTGACCTGCTCGATGTTGGAGCTCGATGTTAACTCTTGAACTCTCGGGCTGAAAGTATCGTGCGATGTTGTTGCTTTATGTTGGCTCGGTTTTTCCTCTGTTTTTCACATCCCGCGATGTCGTAGCTCGATGTCAGCATCAGTACTCCCTGACCTTATATGTCGCACGATGTGCATGCTCGCCATGTCATGATTTTTCTCCATCATTTGCACATCGCACAATGTCCATGCTTGATGTTCCCTGCCTTCTTCTCGGGCAAAAGATATCGTGCGATGTTGGAGCTCGATGTCCAGCTCCGAAACATTTCCCTTCCCATATCGAGCTTGGTAGCTCGATATGGTTGCCCGACATGTTTTGGCCCTACTAACATCGAGCTTCTCAGCTCGATGCTGATGCTCAATGTTACCTACATCGAGCTTGGCAAGCTCGATGTCCATGCGCGACATTAGCCAAAGCATGCCTAGGTGTTCACTAATCCAACCAACCAACTGCCTTGAACACCACCTGCTCCTAACATCAAAAGAAAGACACAAATACAAACTTAAAATGCAATAATATATACAAGGATATCATGGGAATGCCTCCCAAGTGCGCTTGTTTAATGTCCTTAGCTTGACTTTCCTTAACCATTCACTCTTGTGGGGGATCTTGAAAGTGGATGTACACCTCATCTCCAAGTGTGTCACTGGCCATGCATGGCTTCAACCTGTGCCCATTCACTGTGAAGTCTTCTCCATCATTGTTGAACAAAGTCACAGGTCCATATGGAAGTACTTCCTTGATCTTGAAAGGCCCTAACCATCTTGACTTAAATTTTCCAGGAAACAACTTCAGCCTTGAGTTCAATAGCAGCACCTGATCTCCAGCCTTGGAGTTCTTAGGTCTTATCTTCTTATCATGGAAGGCTTTGGTCATTTTCTTGTAGATCTTAGAGCTTTTAAATGATTCTAGGCGATTCTCTTCTAGCTCTTTGAGGTTGATGAGCCTCTTCTCTTGGGCAGTCTTGATGTCAAAGTTCAGTAGCTTTCTTGCCCATAAGGCCTTGTACTCCGGTTCCATAGGAAGATGTCAAGCTTTACCATAAAGAAGTGAGAATGGTGATCTTCCAATGGGTGTTTTGAAGGCTGTTCTATATGCCCAAAGAGCATCATCCAACTTGTGAAACAAATCCTTCCTTGTACTACCAGCAGTCTACTCTAAAATAGCCTTGATCTCTCTGTTAGACACTTCCACTTGACCACTTGTTTGAGGACGGTAAGGAGTAGGAACCTTATGCTTATAACCATGCTTCCTTAGCAAGCTCTCAAAAACCTTGTTGATGAAGTGGCTCCCTCCATCATTTATAACACATCTTGGAACACCAAACCTTGGGAAGATGATAGACTTGAATAGCTTCAGCACAACCTTAGCATCATTTGTTGGACTAGCTACTGCTTCAACCCACTTTGATACATAATTCACAGCCACAAGGATGTACTTGTTCCCATAAGAAGAGAAAAATGGTCCCATGAAGTCAATACCCCAAGCATCAAACAGATCCACTTCAAGAATTTAGTTTAGAGGCATCTCATCTCTCTTGGAGATGCTTCCCTTCCTTTGGCATGCATCACATGAGGAGATATAAGCTTGTACGTCCTTAAATAAACTTGGCCACCAAAACCCAGCTTGAAGTACCTTTGAAGCTGTCTTGAAGGTTGCAAAGTGACCACCATAAGCTGATCCATGACAATGATGTAGGATTCCTCTAACTTCTTCTTCAGCTATGCACCTTCTGAACAATCCATCATTTCCTTTCTTGTAGAGATAAGGTTCATCCCAATAGAAGTGGGAGACATCTCTGAAAAATTTCTTCTTTTGATATGGGCCAAGATTCAGTGGTACCTTGCCAATAACCAAATAGTTCACAAAGTCAGCATACCAACGCAGTTTTTCCTCTTCCAAACTCATCACTTCAACTGTTTTCATTCCCAATGCGTGCAGTTGCTCTTCTTGTAGAGTATCATTGATGGGGACAAAGTCATCAATCATTAGCCTTGAGAGGTGATCAGCCGCACCATTATCAATGCCTCTCTTGTCTACAATCTCTATACCAAACTCCTGCAAGAGGAGTATCCATCTGAGGAGTCTTGGTTTAGTATCCTTCTTGGCATAGATGTGCCTTAGTACAGAATGATCTGTGTAGACTATCACCTTGGACCCAACCAAATAACTTCTGAACTTCTCAAATGCAAAGACCACTGCAAGAAGCTCCTTCTCTGTTGTGGCATATCTGGTTTGAGCTTCATCGAATGTCCTACTAGCATAATAGATGACATGCATCTTCTTGTCCACTCTCTATCCCAACACATCGCCAACAGCATAATCACTTGCATCACAAATGATCTCAAAGGGGAGATCCCAGCT